TCCATCCCACGTGGGTGGTGGGGAGTGGGTGCTGATGGCTGTGCCCACCACAGCTCTGCACCCGGGTGATGCCCCCCGACGCCAACCCGGTGTGGAACGAGGTCTTCTTCTTCCCCCTGAGGGTGAGGTGACCCCCCCTTCTCCCCCCTCCCAGCCCCACACGCGTCCTGCACCCCCTTCCCCAAGTGGGGGCACCCCCCAAAATGTGGGGCGCACCTCCCCTTTGTTCCCTCTCCACAGCTGCCCCCCATCTGCGAGGAGATCCAGTTGGCCATCCTCAGTGGGTATGTGGGGGGACCCCCCCCTCGATTCTTGGGGGGCCATCCTGGTTTGGGGGGAACACCCCTGTTTTGGGGAACCACCTCGATTTTGGGGGGCCACCCCGAATTTGAGGGAAAACCCTGGTTTTGGGGGAAAGCCCCATTTTTGAGGGACCGCCCTGGTTTTGGGGAAAACCCCATTTTGGTGGAACACCTCGATTTTGAGAGGTCACCTTGGTTTTGGGGAGACCACCCCTGTTTTGGGGGGCCACCCCAGTTGGGGGGAACACCCCAATTTGAGAGGCCACCTTAGTTTTGGGGAGACCACCCCGGTTTTGGGGGAAAACCCCAGTTTTGAGGGACTACCCTGGTTTTGGGGAACACCCCGTTTTTGGAGGACCACCCTGGTTTGGGGGGAAAACCCCAGTTTGGGAGAACACCCCAATTTTGAGAGGCCACCTTGGTTTTGGGGAGACCACCCGTGTTTTGGGGGGCCACCCCAGTTTGGGGGAACACCCTGATTATGGGTGCCCACCCCAGTTTTGAGGGACCACCCTGGTTTTGGGGGAAAACCCCTCAGTTTGGGGGGAAAACCTCGGTTTGGGAGAACACCCCGATTTTGAGAGGCCACCTTGGTTTTGGGGAGACCACCCCAGTTTTGGGGGGCCACCCCAGTTTGGGGGGAACACCCCGATTTTGAGAGGCCACCTTAGTTTTGGGGAGACCACCCCGGTTTTGGGGGCAAACCCCAGTTTTGAGGGACCACCCTGGTTTTGGGGAACACCCCGATTTTGAGAGGCCACCTTGGTTTTGGGGAGACCACCCCGGTTTTGGGGGCAAACCCCAGTTTTGAGGGACCACCCTGGTTTTGGGGAACACCCCGATTTTGGAGGACCACCCTGGTTTGAGGGGAAACCCCCAGTTTGGGGGGAAAACCTTGGTTTGGGAGAACACCCCGATTTTGAGAGGCCACCTTGGTTTTGGGGAGACCACACCGGTTTTGGGGAGACCACCCCGGTTTTGGGGGGCCACCCCAGTTTGGGGAGAACACCCCGAATTTGAGAGGCCACCTTAGTTTTGGGGAGACCACCCCGGTTTTGGGGGAACACCCCAATTATGGGGGTCCTCCCTGGTTTTGGGGGGAAAACCCATGTTTTTAGGGGCACATCCTGATTTTGGGGGACACCTCGGTTTTGGGGGACACCTCCAATTTTGAGAGGCCACCCCGTTTTTGGGTGGTGAGCCCAGTTTTGGGGGATCACCCTGTTTTTTGGGGGAGAACACATGGTTTGGAGCACCATTCCTTTTTTATGGGACCACCGGTTTTGGGGAGACCACCCCGGTTTTGGGGGGCCACCCCAGTTTGGGGAGAACACCCCGAATTTGAGAGGCCACCTTAGTTTTGGGGAGACCACCCCGGTTTTGGGGGAACACCCCAATTATGGGGGTCCTCCCTGGTTTTGGGGGGAAAACCCATGTTTTTAGGGGCACATCCTGATTTTGGGGGACACCTCGGTTTTGGGGGACACCTCCAATTTTGAGAGGCCACCCCGTTTTTGGGTGGTGAGCCCAGTTTTGGGGGATCACCCTGTTTTTTGGGGGAGAACACATGGTTTGGAGCACCATTCCTTTTTTATGGGACCACCCTGGTTTTAGGGGGTGATGGTGGGTGTGTTTCCATTTCTGGGGGCCCCTCCATTTTTTGGGGGGGGGATCCCCCACCCCTTTTCCCCTGCCCACCCATAGGTTCCACAGGAGCAAGGTGCTGGCCACCGCCACCCTCCACCTCTCCCAAATTTCCTCTGCCGGTGCCGAGCTTGAGGGTGAGCGGGGTCCACCCTTGGGTTGGGGGGGGTCCCCAGCCCCCAGACACCCCCCCCCACCTCCTTCCTTCCCCCACTGAACCCCCTCTTTTCCCCCGAGATGGGACCCCTGGGTTCTTACCCTGCTTTGGACCCAGCTTCCTCCCTTTCTACGGTCCCCGGCCGGATTCTGCCAGGACGCCCAACACCGTGAGTGGGTGACAAATTGGGGACAACACCCCTCTTTTTTTTGGGGGACACACACACCCACCCCACCACCCTTATTTTACAGGTGGCCTATCGGGGCCGGGTGCTCCTGGAGCTCAGCACCCACATGGGGACCCCGAGCAGATGCCAACAAGACACCATCGCCCCCGAGGACATCGCCCGGGTGCAGGTGGGGACACGGTGATGCCACCTCATGGGGTTGGTTGGTTTTGGTTTTGAGGTGTATTTTGGGGATATTCTCACCTTTTTCTTTCTTTTTTTTGCCCCAGGGCCAGTTCCCCCGTCACCGCTTCGGGCTGTGTGGCATCTTTTATTCTGCCACCATGGTGCCACCCGGCCCCGAGCTCCTGCGCTTCGAGCTCAGCCTGGGCAATTATGGGGACAGGGGGGATGTCACCTGCAAGCCGTCCCCCTCCGTCACCCCCTACGGGTGTCCCCTCTTCGATGGTGAGAGGGTTGGGTGTTGGGGGGGACGATGGGGATGGGGTGGTACCCACAGGTGTCCCATGGGATGCTCTGGATGCAGGCAACCGCTATCACTACCTGCCGTGGTACGGTGACAAGCCGGTAGTGGCCGTCACCTCCTCCTGGGAGGACACCAGCCACCGTTGGGATGCCCTGAACCTCCTGCGTGCCCTTTGCCGGCGGTTGGTGAGGACCCATGGAAGGAGGAGGATGGTGGGGTGGTGTGGGGTGGGACACCAGGTACGGTGACAAGCCGGTGGTGGCCATCACCTCCTCCTGGGAGGACACCAGCCACCGTTGGGATGCCCTGAACCTCCTGCGTGCCCTGTGCCGGCGGTTGGTGAGGACCCATGGAAGGAGGAGGATGGTGGGGTGGTGTGGGGTGGGACACCAGGTACGGTGACAAGCCGGTGGTGGCCATCACCTCCTCCTGGGAGGACACCAGCCACCGTTGGGATGCCCTGAACCTCCTGCGTGCCCTGTGCCGGCGGTTGGTGAGGACCCATGGAAGGAGGAGGATGGTGGGGTGGTGTGGGGTGGGACACCAGCCCCCCAGCTCCAGTTTGGGATGGTTTGGTGGCATCTTGGTAGAGGAGGAACGTGGTGGAGCTGCGGCGGGCCCGTGGGGACACGGTGGGGGACATCGGCAGGAGGCTGCTGCGCCAGCTGGCCCAGGACTGCGGGTGAGCTGGGAGAGGGGTCTTGGGGGTCCCAAAGCAGGGGGTGCTTGTGGGGGGGACACCTGGGCATGCCAAGGGGTAATTGG